TAATGTATAAAAGTATGACAGATATATTAAATTTCCCCAGTATTATTTCTAAAGCAAGAATAGAAAAGTCATTAACACATATGGAAATGTTATGTATCCCCGTTCTTCTCAGTATATCATAGTGAGCTCCCTGCTGAAAGCGCCGCTTCTCACGCTGTTTGATTATAAGTACCCAGACTGGAGCATCACAGTGGGATACATTATTGGCCTCTCTTCCTTCATCTGGATCCCCATCTACATGGTTTACAAGCTGGTGTGGACCCCTGGATCACTCAAACAGGCCAGTGGTTAAAGAGATGGTGAAAATAGTGTGCAAAATGCTGAAAAAGTGTTTCTTTTTAAAATAACCTCTGTGTTACCCCTGTTTCCCACAGAGGCTGGCGGTGTGTCTGAGACCAGAGAGGATCATACCAGAGATTCACGCTGACAGCCTCAACATGGCCACTGTGCCATAGAAAGAAAAACTCTGTAACATGAAAAACAAATGTAGAGTCCCATTTCAATAGTTTTAAGTTATTTATGACCAAACCTGAATATAATCTAAGACCATGACTTGTTTATGTGGTCAGACAATTTTCATTACACATGTACACTGAGATAGCAATAGTCACATCTTAGCTGATCTGTGTGATTCAGATCTGCCCTCATCACCAGGAGAGTTTATATTTCACATGTGGCCATTCTCATGTGATGCATTCTTTTGGTTGTAGGCGTCAGTAGTAAACTCAGTTCTTTGTCTTCCTTTAAACAGCTGTATTTATCTCACAAAAACACAATGCCATGGAAAATAAAAACGTATTTCTATATGAAACATTCAGCACATCATTTCTATGGCACGGAGGTGTTTTCTCTTAAGCTTTGTATTTTCTGAAAGATTGTTGAAATGAGCCCTGCATGCTCGGCCACAGCAACAGTGGAAGCACCAGTGTTGCGTTGGCAGCAACAGTGAGATTAACAGTTTTTTAAACCACTTAACTAATAATATAAAGTGTTTTGCATGTAATTTTACAACTTTGTCAGGGGACTGTTTATGAACAGTCAACAACATACTGTACAAAATGTCAGCTAATCTTTGCCATGTCAAATTTGTGACAGTTTTACCACACACTATGGGCAAAACTTTACTTTACAGGTCTGTAAATTCCATCTTATTTCCAAATAATTCCCTAGGAGGTTTCTTGGAAAGAACTATATAATATGGTACTAATTAAAGATACAATTAGAGCATGATCGGTTGTTACACTTCTAAATGCTAAGCTAGCACAAACTTTAAACTTTTATTCAAAGGAAACAAGGTGAACTACACATGCAAAGTGTAAAACTGTCTACAAACATTTATGCAATTCAGCATGAATTAAGAATAACATATCAATTACTAAATAAACAAATAGTAAATATTAACTGAGGTTTAAACTGAGCAGTGTTTTTCATGGAAGTTCAGCTGCAAGGAAATAATAAGCTCATTACAGCTCAGTGGACTAAAAGAAAAGTCACAGAACTTTGTCTTTTTTTTTATAATTAGTATAAAACTACATGTTTTTTTTTCCAGGAAAACTTTAAGAAATTATTAGGAAATAGCAAATCTGTAAAATAAAGTGTTACCATATTGCAAAAACACCTTTTTCCCCACTGGAGAGGAGACCAAACCTATAAAGTACATAAAGTACAGTCATTCTTTATTAATGTCAGTTCTGTGCTTTATATTTATACAGTAGATCTATAATGCTGTGCTTGTTTAGCATTTCATTCCAGCTGCTGGATATATCTGCTAAAATCTATTGTTTTCCCTTCATGTGTTTAAAGTGAGGCAGTCAAACAAGGACCACATTAAAATGATAGACTTCTAATTTTAAATATAGTGTATTATTTCAGGAAATAGATGTTTTTTTTCTTCATACAATTGGCAATTTTAGCTATATATGTGTATTTCTGTAGTTTTTCAAAACGTAGGTGTTTATTTGAAGGTAATGTGCTTTTCCTTAATCTGCATCTACACTGCATCTAAAAACATTATAAAGGTTATATTTAATGATATTGCGCCGCTCCAGACAGTGATTCACTTTCTAATTGGAAACAGTTCCAATATTTCAGCAGGTCTTTGCCACATGCGTTAACTTCTATACAAGTTCTTTATAATTTATTTATATTCAGAGAATAATGAGATGAGCAGTGATGATGATTGTTGTGTCATTTCAGTTCTCTTCATCATGGTTTCTGTAGTAAGATGTGTATAAATTAATTATAGTGTAAATTACATATTTTATCTTTGTGCTTCTTTTCATTCCTGGAGGTTAAATAAGCCTGCAAAACATCATTATTTTAGGCTGTTGAATACCAGTAGCTGTATTAAAACAAACATTGTATACTGCATTTGCTTCTGAATTGTGAAAGTGTAGGAGACCACATGAGGCATTTGTTTTTGTGAATCTCCATATGGTGATTGTCGGGTCTTTGTAATGGCCGTTGGCTGTTGCTGCTCACTTCTATTAAATATTCTAATTAACAAGCTAATTTGCAGTATCCAGAATCCATCAGCATACAAGGGAACAGAGCAGTCTCTACCTTCAAATGCTCCCCGAACCCACACACATGCAAGCACACACTTGTACTTCTATCTTTGTGAAGACACTCATTACACAATGCATTCCCTAGCCCCCTACCCTAACACTTAACCATCAGAAATAATTGCCTTACCCTAACCCTTACCCTAAGCCTAATTCTAACCTGAACCCTAAAACCAAGTTTTAATCCTCAAAAAGGTGTTTCACAAAGTGAGGAGCAGCCAAAATGGCTTCAATCTGTAGCAAAAACTAGCAATACAAGGACACACACACACACTTTGTGGATGACAGTCTTAGAAACATGTATGAAAGTAGAAAGTAGTATGGAACATGTAATTCCCCACTCAGTGGCTGATGGACATGCAGATTAAGGCCCTTTTGTGTCAGTGACTGCTATTGAAGTAGAGATCAGGCGAGCACACGAGACAAAAGATATACTGCAAAACAGACAGGTTCTCCTCTACCTGGCAGGAACAGCATGACAAACAGTACATTAATGAAAAATGGCTGCAGAGAAATACTGTGTATGTTATTATGACTCAATCATATAAACAGCCACTAAATCTGACAAAGTACAGAAGAGTAGCTTAAAGTACAGTAAGTACAGAGGACATAAAAAGAGGAATGATGGGTTTTATGCACAGGTTTTTTGTTGTATTTAAAGCATTCACTCATAACTGTCAGGAAAGCATGGGTATTCTCTGTCAGAGGTGACTATTTAATTCAATTATAGTTGGGAACTCAGTTACATGTGTGATTATATAACACATATCTGCCGTCAAATCCACTGATGAATCAACAGGAACCGATAAAAAAAAAAAAACTGACAGACACTCACAGAATCATACAAGAGTGTATTTTATTATTATTAAACCTGTCAAGTGTCCATTCTTGCTTGCTCAAGATGCAACATAAAAATCTGTAATTCAGTTTAAATGCCTTCAGATAAAACAGGATCTCTGAGTTCATGCTATTGTTAGGTATTTTTAGTCAGATAGAGTACAACCACGGTATCAGACTGTCAAATTCTCTTTAGGTTCCCGATGAGGGAAAAGCCAAAGTTCCCTGCTGTGCACAACAACATCTTGCTCTTGTTAGAAACGGAAGTGCCAGGCACAACGAGGTAGTGTCTTATTGGCAATTAATGCGTGGTTTACATGTGTGGTGGACCATGAGGGGGATCTGTACAGATCAGAGATCAGCTATGATCTGTTACACCAGATGATATGTTAAATGATATGTTTGTATATTTTCTAACCAGCTTCCCTTGTACAAATAGAGAACCTATTATTTTGAGCAAAGATGTTTCTGTTCTACGAGCTAATTTGTGTCAAGTTTACTGTGGCCTTAAAAGGACCCTTTTCTATTAAAGGAACACACTTCTCTGAGGAAAAACATTTAAAAAGGTTGAAATCTCTGTAACAGAGGTCGAGCTACCGACCAACTCGGTCTGTGTTATGGTTCAAGCTCCACAATCTATGGATCCCCACCCCATGCCCCTCGGGCTGTCACAGAACTGACTTGGTCAAACCTCAGGTGGTTTATGAGCCACAGACATGCTCCAAATACAGTGGTGTGACAAAGTGTTTGCCCCCTTACTGATTTCTTATCTTTTTGCATGTTTGTCACACTGTAATGTTTCAGATCATCAAACAAATTTAAATATTAGTCAACGATAACACAAGTAAACACATCATGCAGTTTTTAAATGAAGGTTTTTATTATTAAGGGAAAACAAAATCCAAAACTATATAGCCCTGTGTGAACAAGTGTTTGCCCCCCTGTCAAAACACTGGTTTATCGCACCTGAGTTCAATTTCTCTAGCCACACCCAGGCCTGATTACTGCCACACCTGTTCGCAATCAAGAAATCACTTAAATAGGACCTGCCTGACAAAGTGAAGTAGACCAAAAGATCCTCAAAAGCTAGACATCATGCCGAGATCCAAAGAAATTCAAAACCAAATGAGAAAGAGAATAATTGAGCTCTATCAGTTTGGAAAAGGTTATAAAGCCATTTCTAAAGCTTTGGGACTGCAGCGAACCACAGTGAGAGCCATTATCCACAAATGGCGAAAACATGGAACAGTGGAGAACCTTCCCAGGAGTGGCCGGCCGACCAAAATTACCCCAAGAGCGCAGCGACAACTCATCCAAGAGGTCACAAAAGACCCCACAACAACATCCAAAGAACTGCAGGCCTCACTTGCCTCAGTTAAGGTGAGTGTTCATGACTCCACCATAAGAAAGAGACTGGGCAAAAATGGTTTGCATGGCAGAGTTCCAAGATGAAAACCACTGCTGAGCCAAAAGAACATAAAGGGCCGTCTCAGTTTTGCCAGAAAACATCTTGATGATCCCCAAGACTTTTGGGATAATACTCTGTGGACAGACGAGACAAAAGTTGAACTTTTTGGAAGGTGTGTGTCCCATTATGTGTGGCGTAAAAGTAACACCGCATTTCAGAAAAAGAACATCATACCAACAGTAAAATATGGTGGTGGTAGTGTGATGGTCTGGGGCTGTTTTGCTGCTTCAGGCCCTGGAAGACTTGCTGTGATAAATGGAACCCTGAATTCTGCTGTGTACCAAAATATCCTGAAGGAGAATGTCCGGCCATCCGTTTGTGACCTCAAGCTGAAGCGAACTTGGGTTCTGCAGCAGGACAATGATCCAAAGCACACCAGCAAGTCCACTTCTGAATGGCTGAAGGAAAAACAAAATGAAGACTTTGGAGTGGCCTAGTCAAAGTCCTGACCTGAATCCAATTGAGATGGTGTGGCATGACCTTAAAAAGGCAGTTCATGCCCGAAAACCTTCCAATGTGGCTGACTTACAACAATTTTTCAAAGATGAGTGGGCCAAAATTCCTCCACAGCGCTGTGGCAGACTCATGGCAAGTTATCGAAAACGCTTGATTGCAGTTGTTGCTGCTAAGGGTGGCCCAACCAGTTATTCGGTTTAGGGGGCAAACACTTATTCACACAGGGCTTTGTAGTTTTGGATTTTGTTTTCCCTTAATAATAAAAACCTTCATTTAAAAACTGCATGATGTGTTTACTTGTGTTATCGTTGACTAATATTTAAATTTGTTTGATGATCTGAAACATTACAGTGTGACAAACATGCAAAAAGATAAGAAATCAGTAAGGGGGCAAATACTTTTTCACACCACTGTATGTGATAACAGGCACAGAGAAAGTCTGCTGGTCTCAATGTGTGGGGGGTAACTGTACAAAAGGTTAATTAAAACGTTTTTCCACAAGTGTATCATGCTGGACAACAGGTTCATTGTGAGAATTCATTGTGGAGTTAACGTGCCTTGTACAGCAGTGTAATATTTTCGGGTGGGAAATAGAATTAGTGGGAAGAAATTGCATTATTTTAGGGTGATTGC